ATCAAGGAAATCAAAGAAGATCTAAATAAATTGAGAAACATACCATGCTCATGGACTAGATGAGCCAACATAGTAAAGATGTAAATTCTCTCCATATTGACATACAAGCTTCATGTAATTCCTATCACCAAAATCCCAACAAGAATTTTTGTTTGTAGATACAAACAAATTATTCTAAAGATTTACATGGCCCTAACCAGTTTGGCTCAGTGGATAGAGCGTCAGCCTGCGGACTGAAGGGTACGATTCCAGTCAAGGGCATGTACCTTGGTTGAGGGCACATCCCCAGGAGGGGGTGTGTAGGAGGCAGCTGATTGATGTTTCTCATCGATGTTTCAAACCCTTCTCCCTTACTCTCTGTAAATAAATATAAATAAATAAATAAATAAATAAAATATATATTTTTTAAAATAAAAATTTACATGAAAATTCAAAGGAACTACAATAGTTGAAATACTTTTTTTTCACCTGAAACAATTTGTTATTAAGTGGATTAAGCCCTAAATCTATCAAGCAAAAGAATCTAACACACTCATGATTAAGATTAAATAATACATAGGCACATGTATGCCCTGACTAACAAAAACAGCCCTTGGTAAAAGTCCCAATACTCAGGAAAGATTTAAAAATAAATGTCCTGTGCATTCAATGTCACCTGTAATCCGATCTCCTTTGATTCTTAGATGAGAAGGTTAAGACTGACACAATTACAACTTGGAAAGGGGAGAGGTAGAGAAAATAAAAACCTGGAAATTACAGGGAGTGGGAAGTAATCCAATTAACAGCAGCACTGAAAATATGTAATCTTACAACAAAATGAATCTCAATTTGGAAAATTAATGTCTATGGGCATTTTCTTTCCCAAACAGGGAGAAGAATGAATGTGGAAAATTAGATTTTTAAAAAAATATTCCTAGAATGAAAGGCAACCACATATCTAGAGCTATTAGACTCTCCAGTGCTTGAATATCAACAAAATCTTCCAATAATAATTATCTTAATATTTTAAATTTAATGTTATCTTAATATTTTAAATTAAAAAAAAAAAACAACAGCCTTGCAATAGTGAATAAATGCAAATTCTTATTAATCAACCTCTATTTCTTACATAGTCTATGAAAAGGGGGTAAATAATTATGCCCTTTTTAAAGATGCAGATATAATTTGCCCATTGGGCAAATGAAGCTCACCTGGTCTCAACAGGAGGCACCCGCCCAGGGCAGTCAGACAGGCAACTAACCCCACATTTCTGTTGCCAGTCATTCCCTTTGAAGTGCCTGGAATGGGCTGAGCCAGAACACTGAAGACTAACTGGTGGGCCCGTAACCAAAGCCCGGGCCATAGAGGCCAAGGGCCTTTAGACCCGATGAAGAGAGCTGGCCGACCTGTTCTTTCCTTATCTCTGCCGTTCTCCAGAGAAAGATTCCCCTAAGGTGAGCCAAGTTCAGCGGCTCGCTTTAACCTAGAGCTGTTCCGGGAGGGATAAGCCGTCTAACTGGATTCTGCTAACTCAGTTCTCATCCCAACAGCACTCTGCACCCCCTACTTACCAAGTCCCTGGGGAAGCAGATGGAGCTAATTAGGACAGCCCATCAAAGGCAACACAGGTATTGTTCTAGCTGCGTATAAAGGACTTCCCCACAACTGGGGCAAAAACCACAGAAGAAATACTTTCCCCACAGAGGGTTCCCCATCATTGTCCTCTATAACTCTGCCTTTCTTCCTTCCTTTCTTTCTTCCTTCTTTCCTTCCTTCCTTTCTTTTCTTCTTCCTTTCCTCCTTTCTTTCCTTCCTTGCCTTCTTTCCTTCCTTTCTTCTTTCTTCCTTCCTCCTTCCCTTTCTTCCTCTTTCTTTCTTTCTTTCTTTCTTTCTTTCTTTCTTTCTTTCTTTCTTTCTTTCTTTCTTTCTTTCTTTCTTTCTTTCTTTCTTTCTTTCTTTCTTTCTTTTTTTCTCCCTCCCTCCCTCCCTCCCTCCCTCCCTCCCTTCCTTCCTTCCTTCCTTCCTTCCTTCCTTCCTTCCTTCCTTCCTTCCTTCCTTTCTCTCCCTCCCTCCCTCCTTCCCTCCCTCCCTACCTTCTTTCCTCCCTTCCTTCTTCCTTTCTTTCTTCTTCCTTTCTTTCTTTCTTTCTTTCTTTCTTTCTTTCTTTCTTTCTTTCTTTCTTTCTTTCTTTCTTTCTTTCTTTCTTTCTTTCTTCCTTCCTTCCTTCCTTCCTTCCTTCCTTCCTTCCTTCCTTCCTTCCTTTCTTTCTTTCTTTCTTTCTTTCTTTCTTTCTTTCTTTCTTTCTTTCTTTCTTTCTTTCTTTCTTTCCCCCTCCCTCCCTCCTTTCTTTCCTTCCTTCCTTTCCTTCCTTCCTTCCTTCCTTCCTTCCTTCCTTCCTTCCTTCCTTCCTTCCTTCCTAAAATATACTTTTATTGATTTCAGGGAGGAAGCGAGGGGAGAGAGAGATAGAAACATCAATGATGAGAACATTGATCTGCTGCCTCCTGCACAGCCCCACACTGGGGATGGAGGCCACAACCCCGGCCCCTGCCTTGACCGGGAATTAAACCATAATCTCCTGTTCATAGGTCGATGCTCAACCACTGAGCCATGCCAGCTGGGCTGCTCTCCTTTCTTTAGCTCTCGGCTCTGACAACCTCAGCCTGTCTTCACCTTGTTTCTTCTCCTGGATGCAAAGTATTCCTCTTCAGCTTATATTGGAGGAAGGCTTATTTTGATGATTTACCCAACTAACCATGACATCAGGTCCATTGGGACAGAGGGGAAACGAAGCAAACAATCCTCTATGTCTGAGAAACAGCTGCTGGCCTTTTAATTTCTGAGGGGCTTGGCCAGCGGTGCTGCCTAAGCGGGGCCCTCTTCACCCACTGTCAGAGGCCATGCGCTCCTGGGCTCAGCCCGGGCCCTGCAGGCAGATGGCTTGTGACCCTGTGGAGGCGTTTTCCATCAGCTCCTCTGCGAGCCGTTCTTCATCTCTCCCACCCTCAGCCAGGTCTCCACTGCGACTCAGCAGCCGAAGTGCTTCAGCTTTGGTCTGTCTGTGGCTGTGAGTGGTTCGTTGCTGTGAGCGGTTTCCTGACCATCACAGGGCTCTGCGGCTGCCTGGCACTCTGATCGGTATTTTAACGTCTTGGCTTGCTTCTATCTCTGGAACGTTTCTCAGTGAAAGAGCGGCCCCACCTACATTTTCTCCTGTTCCTTTTTCTTAAAATGATTTTTCAAGAAAGAATAAATGGGAGGAGTCAGCCTCCCTGATGTAAAGACGCTATCTTGCAGTCAGGAAGATGATGTGGTCTTGGTTAGGTCAATGGAACAGAATAGAGAATCCAGAAACGGACCTAGCACATATGCCTGACTGATTTTTGATGAAAGTACTACAGTAAGTCAATGGAGTGAAAAAAAAACTTGTAGAACAAATGATGCTGCAGCAATTGGTCCATGACAGGAAAAATAGAAAACGAAGAATAAAAACAAAACCCTCAGCCTAAGTCTCACTCCTCAAGTAAAAAATGAACATAAGAACTTCAATTTAAACAAAATTACAAATTATCAAATGTCTAGAAAAAAAGAAGTGAGAAAATCTTCGGGATTCAGGGATATGCAAAGAGTTTGACTCCAAAAGATGATCCCCACTCAAGCTCTCAAAAACAAAACAAAAACAAAAACAAAAAAAAACCCAATACAAATAAATTTGATTCTACCAAAATCACAAATGTTTGCTCTGTGAACGGCTTGTTAAGGATGACAAGATTGGGAGAAAATCTTTGCAAACTCATCTCTGGTCAAGGACTGCTGTCTAGAATACATACGGACTCTCAAAATGCAGCAGCAGAAAACAGCTGGTTCGGTTAGATCAGTGGTTAGCAAACCTCGGCTCTCGAGCCACATGCGACTCTTTGACCCCTTGAGTGTGGCTCTCCCACAAAATACCACGCACCCTAATTAAGTTAATAACAATGTCCCTACCTATTATATATAGTCTACGTTTAAAAAAATGTGGCTCTCGAAAGAAATTTCAATCGTTGTACTGTTGCTATTTGGCTCTGTTGTCTAACGCATTTGCTGACCACTGGGTTAAAACATGGGCAAACGACAAGAAGAGATAATTCACCAAGGAAGCTATGCGGGTGGCAAAGAATGTCACAGAAAGATGTGAAACAGACATTAGGAAAATGCGGATTAAAACCACAATGCACCCTTAGCAGAAAGGCTGAACTAAAATGAGTGTCACCACCCACCACACACCGACAAGGGCAGAGAGAAACTGGGCCACTGATGGCAATGGACAGTGGTACCCACCCTGTGGGAAACAGCGGGGCAGCTTCTTAAACAACGAAGGATGCCAGGACCAGGCACCCCGCAATGGCACTGCCCTCCCTGGACCCTCCCCTGTTTATCCAAGGGGAGGCAAGGCCTCCTCCAAGCGCCCTCCACCTGGGGGAAATCAGAAAAACAATATCCAATAGTTCGCACCCAGGGCTTGCTCTGTGCCAGGCACTGTGCTAAGGCCCTGCTGAACATTGTCTCAGCTACACCGCCCCACAGACCTCTTGTCTGGGGGTGCGGTTCTTACCGTCACCCCTGCCAGCTAGAGGGGTACCCTGAGGCTCGGAGGCCGGTGGTGCTCCAGCCCAGGCAGCTAGCACACGGCAGCACCTGCATGGGAACCCTGGCGACCCAGGTGAGAACCTGAGTCCTCACACTGTCGTTGTCGCACGGTTCCCACGGGAATCGAGCCACAGAGCTGGAAGGCCAGCCGGCCGGCTTACAGGCTTACACCCGAGGCCAAGCTGCCTGCAGGGCTGGAGGCCGGTGGCTTCGTTATTGCCTGACTTTTCCTAATATCCTGGCCCCTTTCCTCCGGCCCGCGGCGGGGGTGGGGGCGGGAGTGCACAGAGAAGGCGGAGTCCCCTCCCTGGGCCCTCCCCCGGCCTTTAAGCGGCCGCGGGGCCCGGAGCCCGCAGTCCGGGCTGGCCGGCTCCCGCCCAGCGGTCGCAGGGATGGCGGTGCTGGCGGTGCTGGCCAAGAAGGTGTGGTGCAGCCGGCGCCTGCTGGTGCTGCTGCTCGCGCCGCTGCTGCTGCTGCCCGTGGTGTTCTCCCTCCCGCCCCAGGTAATGCCCCTCCAACCGACCGACCACCGATGGCCTGCCGACCGCCTCCCGGGCAGCGCCACCCGCAGGACTCCCCTTCCGCAGCTCAGACACCGCCGGGAGCTGAGGTCCTAGGCTAGACAGAAGCCCCTCTAGCTCTCCTGCTGCTGTGAGCGCCCCTAACTCCTTCCCCCTTCCCCACCAGCTTTCTGACTTCTCCGCATGGAGCGCTAACCACAGGGTGGTGCTGTCACACATCTCACCTGGCAATGACAATGAGCGCTTAACGCCCAGCTGTGTGACCCCGGGCAAGTCTGTTCCCCTCTCTGGGTCGAACACCTCTGGGGGAAATGATCCGCTGATCCAAAGGGTTGCAGGGACTATTTAAAAAAAATTTTTTTTATTGATTTTTTTTTTTTTTTAACAAAGAGGAAGAGAGAGGGACAAAGAGTTAGAAACATCGATCGGCTGCCTCCTGCACACCCGCGACTGGGGATGTGCCCGCAACCAAGGTACATGCCCTTGACCGGAATCGAACCCGGGACCCTTCAGTCCTGAGCCAAACCGGTTTCAGCTGCAGTGACAACGCAGTCATTTGCATAACAACACACCCATGCGATGGTGGTCCCGTGAGATTATAATGGAGCTGCAAAAATCCCCACTGCCCAAGGGACATGGAGCCCTCCTGATGGAACAAAACACCAGCCACGTTTAACAAACACGGACTAGGAGCAAGGTGCAGCGGCGCGAAGTTTTGCCTTACGTTTTTCCTCTCATTGAATCCTTTATTAAATTTACATGCTTCATTTTTTAATTACAGTAGACATACAATAGGATACTAGTTTCCGGTGTCCAACCCAGCGGTTATGTATGTGACTTATGAAGTGATCATAAATCTGTGCCTGTCCGCACGCGTTTGTGGAGATAACGGTGTCAATGAGCCGACTGCGCTGCCAAGCCCCATCAAAGTGCAGCACACATTATTATGGACAGAACATGACGCTTGGTAATAAGCCACGATGCTTCTGGTGTGTGCATTGACTGCTGTCCATGTAAGAAACGCGCAGGCCTGCAGGGAACTTTTTATTTTTTAAAAATAATTAATTAATTAATTAATTAAAATATATTTTATTGATGTTTTACAGAGAGGAAGAGAGAGGGATAGAGAGTTAGAAACACTGATGAGAGAGAATCATTGATCAGCTGCCTCTTGCACAACCCCTACTGGGGATGTGCCCGCAACCAAGGTACATGCCCTTGATCGGAATCGAACCCGAGACCCTTCAGTCCGCAGGCCGACGCTCCATCCACTGAGCCAAACCGGTTTCGGCACTGCAGAGAACTTTTTAATTGAATGTATTGGGGTGACCTCGGCTTGCGAAACCATTCAGGGTTCAAGCGTACAATTCAATAAAACACCTGCACAATAAAACATCGCGCACCCATCACCCCAAGCAGAGTCTCTTTCCGTCCGCATTGCTTCCCCTCTTTGTTCACCTCCATCTGGTGTCCCCCCCCCCCCCCCCCCCGTTCCCTCCGGCTGTTGCCACACTGCTGTCTGTGTCTATGTGTTACGCATATACTGTATTTTTTTTTTTTTTTAACTAATCCCTTCACACTTTTTCATTCATTTCCCCCACTCGCTCCTCTACCACAGCTGCTAGTCTGTCCCATGGACCTATGTTTCTACGTTGTTCTTCGGTTTATTTTGTTCACTGGATTTCAGATACAAGGGAGGTAGTGTGGCGTTTTTCTTTCTCTGACTAGCTTATTCCACGTAGCATAGTAATCTCCAGGTCTGACCACGCTGTGGCAAAAGGTATGATTTCCCTCTCTTTGTTTTTGGCTGTGTAGTATTACATAGAGGATTTTTATGAGTCTATTTGAGCCAAACTGATGACAGTTACCAGGAAGCAGAATCTCAACAGACTGAGAAATGGTCTTCTTATCATTTGTTTTGTAGATGGGAACCAAAGGAGGAGACGTGAGTGGGTTACGTGGAATTCACTCGGTGGTAGAGCGGGGAAGTCTCTGAGATTGGACAGAGATGGAGAGACACACTCTCCTAACAGGTGGCTATGGGACAGGTAACAGTTAACATTGACAGCACAGAGAAGGCATTTGGAGAATAAGATAACAGGAGGGTTCTGTGGTCCGTGGTCTGGTGGGAAATTAGGCCCTGAGGGGTCTGGAAAAGCGGGGAGATTATACATTCCAAAGGCGTCTTATCAGATATGCACAGAGGCGGCAGTCCGGTTCACTTGAGGTAACTATGACCTTAGCCAAGAAAGCTGCAAGCCCAGGACTTGGCTTCCAGCTGCGACTCACCTGCAGTTAGAAAGTTTGTGTTCGGACCACCTTCTGTGGTTACATTCAGTGTGCGTGTGTAAGCCTCCATGCAGGCCTCCCCGGAGCTGGTCAGGGTTAGCATGTGGCCCCATTTCCATACTAGACTACACTTGTTATTGCTGTTTGGAGTGTACTTTTTCTACTTGTGAAAAGAAGTTGGCACCCTGGCTGGGCGGCTCGGTTGGTTGGAGTGTTGTTCTGTACACCGAAAGGTGGCAGGTTCAATCCCGGTCGGGGCTTCTTGACATGGAAAAGAAAAACAATAAATGCTGGAAAGGATTTAGGTCACTTTTCAAAAAGCATTCCATCCTAGGCCACTTGCTGGCCTCAGGACCTTGGGCCAACTTCCTTTCTTCATTGGCTCACACTGTTCTTGCCCGTAAAAGGGGGCGGTCCCCTTGCCGGTTTTAAGAACTGAGATGAGAGGGTGGAGGGAGGAAGTTGCGGGATGGGTCTGCTATGTCTTAGGTGAAGCTCCAGGGAAGCAGAGATGAAACGCACAGTTTCTTATGGCTCTGGAAGCTTCTCTCTCTCTACTTTGCCCTCTAACAAGATCTGCGAACCCAGAGGCAGATCCAGATGTTATGAGGTCTGAAGTGTGTAGTATTGGATGGGCTCTATTTAAGAAAAAGCATACGGATTACACATGCACGATTGAGTATGAGGTTTGGGAAGGAGGGGTGAGACTTAAAACGTCATTAGCTGTGTGTGCATTGAATCTGCTTCCCTGTGAAGCCCAGAATGCACGGCAAACAGAAATGCCTCTAGCTCCTGCCGGGTGGTAGCTGGGTGACCAAGATGTCTTACGGAGTGTTTGATTCTTACTATGTGCCAGGCACCATGCTAAGAGCTTCCCAAGTGTTGTCCTATAGCCAGGGAGGCAGCTGCTGTTAGCATGGCTATGGAACACTCGAGCAAATGGAAGCTCAGCAAGGTTAAGCGACTTGCCCAAGGTCACACAGCCTATACAAGGCCAAGAATGCAAGGTCTGGCCGAAACCGGTTTGGCTCAGTGGATAGAGCATCAGCCTTCGGACTGAAGGGTCCCGGATTTGATTTCGGTCAAGGGAATGTACCTTGGTTGCAGGCACATCCCCAGTAGGGGGCGTGCAAGAGGCAGCTGATCCATGACTCTGGCATCGATGTTTCTATCTCCCTTCCTCCCTGTAAAAAGTCAATAAAATATATATATACACATACATACACACATATATACATATACATATATACACACATACATATACATATACACACATATATGTATATATGTATATGCATGTATATGTATATACATATATATACACATACATACATATACATATATATACACACACATATATATATATTAAAGAATGCAAGGTCTATACTTCCTTTTTCTCTTCCTTTTAAAATTAAATTTATTGGGGTGACACTGGTTAATAGGGTCATATATGTTTCAGATGTGGGTTTCTATGTTATAAGATCTGTTTCTTGTACTGTGTGCCCACCACCCAAAGTCAAATAAATCTTCTCTTGTCACCATATATGAGGGTCCCCTTTACCCCTCCTTCCCTCTGGCAACCACCATACTGCTGTTTGTGTTCACGCGTTTCAGTTTTATATCCCACCTATGAGCAAAATCCTAGTTCTTAGCTTTTTCTGAGCGACTTACTTCCCTTAGCGCCATATTCTCAAGGTCCACCCAACTCGCTACAAATGGCAGCCTTTCAGCCTTTCTTATGGCCGAGTAGTATTCCTTTGTGAAATATACCACATCTTCCTTTTCCAGTCCTCTATCGCAGGACACTTAGGTTGTTTCCATGTCTTGGTCACCGTGAATAATGCTGCAATGAACATAGAGGTGCATGTATCTTTGTGAATACATGTTTTCAAGTTTTTTGAGTATATAGCCAGGAGAGTGATTGCTAGATCATGTGGTAGCTCTATTCTTAATTTTTTTGAGGAATTGTTAGACTGCTTTCCATAGTGGTTGTTCCAGTCTACATTCCCAGCAACAGTGAATGAGGGTTCCCTTTGCCCCCACAACCTCTCCAACTCTTGTTGTTGCTTGAACATGAATGTATCAGACACTGAATAACTATACAAATTAATAAGTGTCACGCAAATAAACCTATTTTTCTTGTTCTCTGAAAGCCAAATATTTCCTGTTGCGCACACCAAACAAGTCAGTGCAAGACTAAGGACGTGGCCATCGGCTGCTAAAATATTCGCTGCTAGAATAAGTGGGGAGAAATGGTGCGCCTGCGCGTAAGGCACGAAGGGAAATGAGTGCCACGGGATTGTAGTAAACAGTCATTAGCAAACGTTGTAGTTCGTTATTAATAATTATATATAACAGGATATTGTAAAAGTTAAGTTTTATTAAAATGTTTCTTACATACCATTATATTTGCTGGGCCAAAAAAATATTCATTGCGGGCTGCATATGGCCTGTGGGCCGTGAGTTTGTAGACATTTATCACTATTACACTTTTGGAGTTAATAACTGATATGTTTCTCAATCCAATGCACAATGTGAACAAAAGCGTCCTTATAGAACATTGCTGTTTTTATTGATCTGTGACATACATTTAGAACAAACAAAGTGGATTTGCTAGGTAAACACAGCTTCAAGACAATCTGGGTAATCTTAAACACCGTTAACTTCTCCAAGTCTGGTGCTTTGACCAAAAT